TCCCAGATTCTCTGTTTGATGGATTGAAAATGGATGATAAAATGCACTCCGAACATATAGGCTATATGTATACAGGCACCTTCTTTGACAATATACCTTTCTGCATTGCATCAAACATGCTTTGACGGACGAGTCTTGCATCTGCGGGAGGTATCAGTGATCTCCGTCTTTGCCCGTTGTGACGTGCATTCTTGTATTCATTATTACTGACATACCGTTGAGGGACCGCAGTGTGCCTCCCCTAGCGCAAAGTAAGTGCATTGTTGTTCATCGATTGTCTCCAGCGCTGGATGCGCAGCGCCACCGTCTGCTCCGCTCTTGAATTACGCTGCCTGCTCCCTTGTGTGTGTGTGTTTTTTTGTTGATTTATATATTTTGTTGTTAACGTGATTAAAGTTTCGCGCGAGCTGCGTTTGACAGCCACAATATATGCAAAAAGCAGGGCAAATATGGAACTGGAGTGGTACAAGTGTGCAGTTGTGGCATAGCTCAACTGCATATAAACAAGAACTGCAAGATTGCACCATGTGAAAAATTTTGCTCTAAATTAACTCATGATCAAGTAGCAACTCATAAACAAATTCATTTAAAAAAAAGATATGTATTAGCTTTCGAGGTGATTTAGGGTCAAGGATCAAGTTCAAATAAAATTCCTGCTTCCAACTATAACTGGTCGTGGATGACGCAGGTGAGACTGCTGGATTTGTAAAAATGCAAAAAAAAAAAAAAGAAAAAATACGAAAACTAATAAAAACCTTCGGCTGTTGCTTCGACTTCTCCCGTGAGATCCGGAAACGATCGTTTTCTGGGAATTGACATTTCTTGCTGTTTTTCGGCCACAGCATCGGGGACTACTACTTCACTACTGCTTGCAGATGATGTGGAGATTTCTTCACGATCGGCATGACTCTCGCTTTTTCGATTCCTCCCATCTGTTCGTTCATCTGATGCTTCGTCTGTAGACGAATTTTTTTCGGCAGCATCCTTAACTGTCACCGAAGAAACAGTTTTCTGTTCGAGCCCAGCAGCACTGTTAAGGGTTTTTACTGAACGGGCTTCTTCCAGCTTCGAGGGTTTCTGAAATCTTTCTAGTTCCACTGCGTCCTCGCTGCTCATTTTGCTTCTCTGCAAAAAAAAGAAAAAACATGAACCTAACGTAGGAGATTTAGAACCGGAGTTCTGCTAAACAGTACAGAACATGTTAAACATTTTACATTCTGTCTATATTTACAGCTAAGAGATGAAACACAGTCTGCTTCTCCTTTAATATGTCCATCGGATAATATTGTATTTGGTTTCACCATCTCTGAGCTCAGTATTTCTAACGTCAAACGACGCTAGAAAAACGTGGTCAAAAACAGAAGCTATAGAAATAAATAGCAACGCGCACCAGACTAGCCGGTGTGATCATGCGTTTTGTGCAATTCAGCCCATCGACTATCTATTAATGATTTTCACTGCGTTGTACTTTAGTCTATGCAAAAATAGTTCAAACATTGGAAAACAG